CTTGTATTTCTTGTAGAATTCTGCAGTGAATCTGTCCGGGCCTGGGCTATTCTTTGTAGGTAAGAAATAAATTACATTTTCAACTTCAATAATAGAAATTGGGTTATTCAGCAATTTTACATCTTCTTGACCCAGCTTTGGTACTTCATATGTTTCTAGGAATCTGTCCATTTCTTCTGTGTTATCAAAATTATGAGAGTAGAGGTTTTTGTAATAGGTGTTGATGATCTTCTGTATTTCCACAGAGTCTGTAGTGATTTCACCTTTTTCATTCCTTATTGCATGAATCTGAGCTTTTTCTTTCCTTTTTAAAATTAGGTTGGCTAGGAACTTATCAATTTTATTTATTCTTTCAAAGAACCAACTCTTTGATTGATTGCTTCTTTGGATTATTTTCTTAGTCTCTATTGTGTTAATTTCTGCTCTGATTTTATAAATTCCTCCCTTCTTCTCAGCTTTGGACTTTGCTTGCTCTTCTTTGTCTGGATGTTTGAGGTGTAGCATCACGTTGTTTATTTGTATTCTTTCTGTTTTCCTGATGTGGGAACTCAGTGCAAAGAATTTTCCTCTGAGGACTCCTTTCATTGCATTGCACAGATTCCAGTAATTTGTGTATTTTCATTTGCTTGTAGGTATTATTTAATTTCTTCTTTAATTTCCCCTGTGACTCATTGATTGCTTGGGTATATTATTCAATTGCCATGTGTTTGTGTGGTTTTTGCACTTTCTTCTATCATTAATTTCTAGTTTCTTGGCACTATGATTTTTTAACATGCATGGGATTGTTTCCACTGTTTTTCATTCATTGAAATATGCTCCGTGGGCCAGTATGTGGTCATTTTAGAGAATCTCCCAGTTACCGCTCAGAAGAATGTATATTCTGATGATTTTGGATGGAACAGTTTGAATATGTCTATCAAGTCCATTTGTTCACAGGTGTGATTCAGTTCTGTTATTTCTTTGCTGTTTTTCTGCCTGGCTCACCTGTCCCATTGTGTCAATGGTGTGTTAAGGTCTCCTATTTTAATTGTGTTGTTGCTAATTTGAGTTTTCATTTCTATTAATACTTGCTTTGTATAACTGGGTGCTCTGGAATTTGATATATATATATATATATATATATATATATATATATATATATTTAAGATTGTTATCTCTTCTTCTTGAAGTCTTCCCCTTACCAGTATGTAGTGACTTTCTTTATCTCTTAGGATCATTCTTGATTCGAAGTTCACAATGTCTGCAAATAGGATAGCTGCCCCTGCTTTTTTGGGCAGGTTCCTGTTGCATGAAGTATTGTTTTCCATCTTTTGGCTTTCAATCTGTGAGTTTCCTTTTGTGTTGGATGGGTTTCATGTAGACACCCTATTGTTGGATGTTGTTTCTTGATCCATTTTGCTAGTCTGTTTCTTTTGATTGGTGCATTGAGACTATTTACACTAATGGTTATAACTGTTATATATTGGTTTATTTTTGGCATGTTGTCTTTCTGTTGTTGCATCTTTATCTTTCTATTTTGTTTAATTGCCTACCTTGCTTAGTGGTTTTTTCCTATGCGTATTGAAACTGTCGTTCAGTATTCTTTGCATGATTTACTTAAAGATCATGAAGTTTTTCAGCTGTTCTTTGTCATGGCAATATCTCATTTCTCCATTCATTTTGAAGGACAGTTTTGCTGGATACATCAGTCTAGGTTGGAAACTATTTTCCTTTAGGATCTGAAATAGTACAATTCCTGGTCTTGTTCACTTCGTTTTTTGTGTTGATAAGTCTGGTATGATTCTGATAGGCTTTCCTTTATAGATGATGTATCTATTCTAACTGCTTTTAATATTCTATTTTTATGTTGAATTTCTGGGATAGTGATTATTATATGTCTGGGTATAGATTTATTTGGTTATGGCTATTTGGAGTTCTATATGCTTCACTAATCCTAATGTCAGTTTCTATTCTTGTATTTGGGAAGCTTCAGCCAATACTTGTGTAAATAGCCTCTTGATGTCATTTATGTTGTCCCCTTCTTTTTCATTTATCCCTATCAATCTTATGTTTTTATTTGAATCAACTTGCAGCTGTTAAATCATTATTTTCTGATTCCTTGTGGTTTTTAAGATATCTTCACTTTGCTGTTCACTAGCTGCAATCTTGTCTTGAGATCTGAAATTCTATCTTCACTTTTGTTGAGGTGGTTTTTACAACTTTCAGTGGAATTTTTGCTTTCCTGTATATCTCTTTGAATCTGATTCATGTATTCTGTTTGTTTCTTATATTGTTCATCCAGTGATTCTATCTTTTTGTTTTGTTCCTCTAATTTTGCAACTGTGTCTTTAGATGTGTTCAGCACCTGTTTTGTTTCTTTTATCATTTCTTCTTTTACCTGGGAAATTATTTCTAGTTTGAATTCCTTTAAAGCTTCCCAGAGTTGCTTCTTTATTTCAGTTACTATTATGTCCGATATTTCAGGCTTATGGCATATATTTTCTTCTATGTAAATTGCTCCTAGGGTTTCTTGGGATGGGCTGGAGGTTTGAGATTGCATTTTGGTCTTTCATTTTGTCATTTTCCTATATTTTTGTGTTTCAAGTGTTATTCCAAAGCTTCCCCTGGGTGTGTTAGAAATTGTCTCCTGTGTTCTGGGCTCCTGGGGCTCCTCTGGCAGTGTAGCTCCCTCCTCCTCCAGTAGCAAAGCTCCCTGGACTGAAAAAAGGTCACCAGCATGGTGCACAGAGGGCCCCATATTTCCTCCTCAGCACATCTCCCTCCTCAGGTGGTGACATTGTTAGCAAATCTCCCTGGACTGAGAGAAGGTCACCAGTATGTCACAGGTAGGCCCTGTACCTCCTCCTCTACACAGCTCCCTCCTCTTTCAGCAGCAGCAGTAATGGGTTAACTCCCCAGACTGAGAGAAGGTCGCCCTGCCTGGACTGGATTTTGCTTCTTGATTCATTTTGCTAGTCTGTTTCTAATTAATTGCTTAATTGAGAATACTTACTTTAATGATTATAATTGGTGTGTGCTGACCTATCCTTCTCATTTCATTTTCCTTTGTTGGCTTCTTTCCCTTCTTTTGAATTGCTTTGCCTCCTGATTGCTGCTTTCTCTTGGTTTTATTGCAATTTTGGCATCCCTTATGTCTTTTCTTAGAATATCTTTCAGAGAATTTTGGGGAGGAGGGTAGGTGGTGATGAATTTTATCCATTGGTGTTCATCACAGAAATATCTTCTTTCTCGATTAATTTTGTACAACAATTTTGTATGGTGCATTTATCTGGAATGGATGTTGAATGTGATAAGCTTTCTTTATAGGTGGTCTGTTACCTTTTTCTAAAAGTTTTTAATATCCTGCCCTTGTGATGAATTTTTAGAATGTTGAATATTGTATACCTTGAAGATATAATTCAAGCGTGACTAATTGGTGTTCTATAAGCCTCACTTATTTTTGTGTCAAATTCTTTATCCATTTTTGGTAAGTTATCTTCCATTATTTATATGAAGGTATTTTAAAGTTATTGACCCTATCTCTGATTATTTTTCATCTAAATCTCATGTTATCCTTCTTTGATTCACCTTGCAGCTGTTGGATTGATTTTTCATTAGTAGTTTGCTATTTTAAAATAGTGCTCTTTTTGTGAGTTTCTGGATTTGATGGTCTATCTTCTCCTTCGTTCAATCTATTGCACATATTTTCAATGGAATTCTTAAGTGCCTGTAGTTATTTAGTTCTTTTCCCTGACTTCCATTGTTTTCCTGTGTTGAGCATGGATGGTTTCTTCCATTTTCTAAGATCCTCTCATTTCTTTATCTGTGCCTACCTAGATTCATTACATATGACTCTTTTTTTTGATTATTTTATTTTCACCCAGAAGTCTAATTTTTTAATAGTCATGTATTTTTTCACTTCTGCTATTATCACATCAGAAGGACGCACTGTATGACTTCAAATTACGTCTATCTCTTTGTGCTCTGAACTTTTCTTAAGTGAACTGGAGGTCTGGGGTTGCATTTTGCTTCTGTTTCTTGTCACTTTTATGTTTTGTGTTCTGTGTTGGTGCTCACAGATTCCATAAGGTAGATATCTTTATCCCTAGTATTCACAATCCTCTAGGAAATGTCTATTCCTCAGAGCTATTTTCTAGGTGTTACATGGACTTTGTGTCTATGTCAAGAACCTACATTTTAATTTATTGAGGATGACTAGCCAATACTTATTTAGAGGTTGATTCTTATTTGGCTCAGCACCCAGACTTTTGGTCCTGGACTATGATGATGAATATCATCCCCAGACAATCACAATGTTGTCACATAAGGGGGGAAATGACAATAGCACATATGACATCTTGTCTTAGGTAGTGCAGTTAGGAATGACAATATCACCAAGCACAGCCTAGCAACTAACAATCTGTGGCAGCTATTAATTTGGAACATTTTACCTTAGGAGAAGGCTCTACAGTTGAATAACAAAATTCAGTACATACTAGGAGCTTCAATGAAATGAGCTTTCCCTTGGTATATTGAATTCACACAGTTTTTGTTAAGAATGATAGGGGACAAAGCATGAAGGAGGAGAAATGAAGAGGAGAAATGAAGTAGAAACAAGGTTGCAAAGCTAAGGATGGGCAACCCTATTTTTAGAAGGCTGGAGAATTCTGTACAAAAGAAATAATGGAAAGAAAGCCAAGTAATATTGAACAAACCAACATTTAATGTTTGTATGCACAAAAATATCATAAAATTGAAAATGATTGTCGTGGAAAGAAAAAAAAGATGAGCAAAAGAAAAATAAAAGTAAGAAATCTAATTCATCAGAAAACTATAATATAAATGTAGAACAATCAAACACAATAAAAGCAACCCAAATCAAAATGAAAAACTAAACAAAACAAAAACCAATGACAAAAACCTGCCCCAATTAGCCTGAAATAGGAAACTCAATCAAACAAGCTCCTGAGACAAATGGTGTTAGAGAAGAGGGTGTGTAATGAACTCATAGTGCAGGTTACCTTGATCAGTTCTTCATAACTCAGCACCAGAAAGTTTTCCCTCTCTCTCAAAGACAGCCAACCACGAACATGCTCAAACCATGATCCAAACAGCACTGCAATGAGGACACAAAAATGTGTGATAGATTGGAAACTAGAAATTAATAGTCCTTTTTCTTAATTTGAGTCTTCTTCCCCAGTTTTACTTTATCAAGGTATAATTCACAAATTAATCATATATATATATATATAAATATATATTAAGTGACCAACATGATTTGATACATACATGTAAATATGGTGACATAAAATACAATTGATATGAGACCCTTGCTCTTCTAGCCAGAAGTGGAAAGAGGGGTTAGTGGGTAAAGAGCAAGACATTTGTCTCATTTTTTCTCTTAACCATATGGTCTCCAGCTGTGTCCATTTTCCTACAAATGACTTTAATTTGCTGCATGGCAGAGAGGTACTTCATCTTGCATAGATACTATATTTTCTTTATTCATTCATCTGTTGATGGACATACAGATTGCTCCCACAGTCTAGTTATTTTAAGTGGTGCTGCTATAAAAAAGGGAAAGAATATATTACTGTGGTATGACATTTTTAAGTTTTGCTGGGAGATGTTTATAAGGGGAATGTCATGGCTGCATGGAATTTCTATTTTTAGTTTTTTTATTTATTTATATTTTTTACATCTTTCATTGTTTATTTATATATATTTTTTACAACTTTCCATAACATGTAGCTGAAAATTACCTTGTGTGATGAGTACATGTGCATAATACAGCTTATTTATTTTTTCATCAACTTCATTTCCCACCTCCCCCTTACTATAATTCCACTCCCCCCTTTTGCATTCTTCTTGGTATTATTAATTTCAGTTCATGCTATGACATCTAATGTTTACATTCTTTGGACTAATTTGGCCTCTGTACATGGCATATTTTTATTCTGCCTATTTCCCTTTCCCTCTTGCATTGCTCTTCATCATTGATCTTTTGGACACCATCCTTTTGGTAAGAGATCCATCCCGTTGTTTCCTTCTATTACATATAAGTATCACATTTTCTTTTTCAGCTGTTTTTTTGATGGGTATACAGGCTGGTTTCATGATTTAGATATTATGAACTGTGCTACTATGAACATTGTTGTGCATATATTGCTGTAACATGGTGTCTTGAGCTCTTTGGAGTAGAAGGTGGATAGCTGGGTCATATAAAATTTCCATTTTAGTTCTTTGAGGTTGATATTTGTTCAAATTCACACCAGTAATGTAAGAGGGTTCGTTTTTTACCACAACATCACCTTTTTTGTTATTTTATTTTATTTTATTTTATTTTGTGATCATGGCTATTCTGTCTTGAGTATAGTGGAATATTAGTGTTGCTTTAAATTGCATTTCCAAAGAAGGCAAACATATCGAACATGTTTTCTTATATACACTGGTCATTTGTTCATTTCACTTGCCCATTTCTTGACTGAGTACTTTGATTGAGGTAGTTTAATTTTTAGTTCTTTATTCTAAATATTAGTACTCTGTCTGAGGAATAGAAGGAAATAGAATTTTCCCATTGTGGAGGCCACCTCTTCCCCTGATACTTGATACTTTTACTGTACTTTTTTGAGATAATGTCTTATGATGCAGTTCAGGCTGCTCTTAAACTCAAAATATAGTGCAGGCTTACCTTAAAAATCACAAGTAGGAGCAAACTTCCTACTTCAGCCTCCTGAGTACTGAGATATGAGCCATGACCACCATGTCCAGTTCAAATACTTGTGATTTGATGCAATGCCGTTTGCTGATTCTTCCTGCTAATGGTTGTTTAACTGTGGTTGTATTTGGAAAATCCTTTTTATCACCTATGACCTCAAGTGTTTTACTTATTTTACAATTTGGTATGCACAGTGTTTCTGTTTTAATGCATTTCTTCTAAAGTCAGGAAACAGACATGGATGCTTACTATTGTCACTTCAACTTAGCACAGTACTTGAAATTTTAGCCAGACAGGATGATCCAACAAGAAGCAAATCACCATCCTTTCTGGTAATTCACACAAGCTGCACAGCTTCCAGGAAGAGCAAAGTCAGCAAGTCTTGAAAATTTACCAGGCTCAGACTGGCAAGATCCAACAAGAAACCAACTAGGCGGCCTTTCTGGAAAGCCATGCAAGCCATAAAAGAAAAGTCAGAGCCTCCTTAGAATCTGCCATGCTGTGACTGGGAGGACCAATAAAAAGCAAATCAGTCATATTTTTGGTAAGCTGTGTAAGCTACATAGCTTCCAGGAGGATAAAAGTCAACATCTCCCTATATCTACTGTTCTGGGACTGGGAGGATCTAACAAGAAGCCAACCAGCCAGCCTTTATGATAATCCGTGAAAGCCATTTGGCTTCCTGAAAATGTCAGCACCTCCTGTGAGTCTATCAATGCACAGGCTGAGAATCAAAGGCAACAACCCTCCCACATGTAAGCAACCCACAGATTCAGAGGACAGGCTGAACTGAGAGCAACTAAGGTATATAAAATAACTAACTGCTTGTATTAGGCAGAGCAATTAGACAATAAAGAATGAGAAATGAAAGGAATATGTATAGGAAAAGAATAATTCATATTATCATTACTTGAAGATGATTTGATATTTTGCATAGAAGCCTCAAAGAAGGCCAGGAAAAAATTTTAGAATTAATGAACAGTATTAGCACTTGTATTAATTATCTTTCTCATTGCCTGGATACAATGCTAGACACCAAAGTAATAGGGGAAACAAGCTTATATATCTGTTTGGCCTGATCTTAAACTCACTATGTAGGCCAGATGGCCTTGAACTCATAGAAACCATCCTGATTCAATTTCCTAAGTGCTAAGATTTCAGCCATGTCCCAGTACTTCTGGCTTCATCTTCACATGTTCTGTTTTGTTTTATTCTTATTGTTGAGTGTTGTCTCGAGTCTTAACGCTGTACCAGAGAGAGAGAGGACATAAAACACACTTTTGTTATAGTTTGGATGGAGCCTTGGACTTGCAGGCTGCTGAAATGGAGAACCTAGTGAGATCCAATGAAGTGAGAGACTCTGAATTCTGTAGTTCCTATACTGAAAGGCACACTCACCATTTCCTTGGAGGAACCATTCCATATATTGTTCCAGCGTCTCTGATTTTTTGGCAATATTCATTTTTCTCACGAAAAAATAACCAGACACAAGAACATCTCTGGGGTTCCTAATGACATAAATCACCTTAAATTTTAAAAAATGAGTAAGTAAAACATCAGGAGAGGCCTTTCCCACATGATTTGATCTTTACCCAGGCAATTTGTGCAAAGTACCTGTCAAATATTGTGGGTTACGTTAATGAATTTATGGTGCCACTCAGTAATAAAATATACATTTAAAATTTTTATGATCTTGCTAGTGTGATGGAAGTATAATAAATAAGGAGGACTGCATGTGTATTCCTCCTGAGATGTCTGTCTTCTCATTCAAGGAATCTACTGGAAGGTTTTCAACAGTAAGTGTGAGGAATTTTTATTCTACCAAAAAAAACCATGTAAAAATCAATAAAAAGCTATCCTATATTCATAGGCAAAGAGGAATGCAATTTTCTACATACCCCAAGCCAGAAATCAGTATCAAAAACTACACTGAGTAAAGAAGCCACACCTCTAAATTAATAGTGGATAAGCTCAATTATGTAAATATCTTGCAATACAGAATATTTCTTAAAATGAGGCATGGGATGCTAGATTCTGCATCTACTTCTTCGCTTCAGGTGATGATCTATCAGTTACTTGGTTAGTTTGAGGTCGTGTATCTCAGAAGACACTTATGTTCACTAAGACACAGCAGTTAGAAAACTCAACCAGTCACTACAGACCATTCACTTGGCCATACATGAATGTGTGAACCTGGTGCTTCCCACACAAACAACTATCATGTGGAGGTTTCCACATGCAAAGTTAGAGAAGTTGCAAAATTCAAGAATCAGGAAAGGCCATTGGAGAAACAGAATTTACTAGGTGAACAACTGGCTCAGGGGGCTCAGACTCAAAAGGGCTGAGTGCTGAGCAAAGGAGGAAATCCTGTCATACACATTTGGTGGGAAGGTGAGTGTTGGCCTCTCTAAAGGCTTGAAATTGTGGGAAAGCAAGTGGACAGAAGTAAAACTCAGGAAGATTGTTAAGCTGTGACAGTTTTGCAACATATTTTTGTGGCCTCACTTGGGCAAAACAGAGAGTTATGGAACAGGATGTTCTCAAACTTTTCTGGAAGAATGAAAGCTATAGTTTTTCTCCTTACTAGAAGAAAGAACTGCTACTGTAGTGAGGGAGATGTTTCAGAACAGTTGATTTTTTTTTTAGGTCCTGTTTTGGAGAATGTCATTGAATAATATTGGCCAATTACCTTATAATGGAGCAACAAAATGAGAGAAATCCATGCCATAGTCCTAAATCCCAGCTGGCCCTAAAATATGGGTATCTAAGACACTGGATTTATTCTCTGACTTTACTCCTTAAATCTCCATTTTGGAGATTTATTTATATCTGTGAAATTTTCCATATATTTTCATTCAACTATGACCTAAGGGGTAGACACTGGATCACCAACTAACCCAGGAGATTCTTACATATCATCCAGATCTACCTAATGAGAATCCATTTCAGCTAAATCACAAAGGAATATTTAGACTCATGCCAGTTTAAATAGATTGTTTTGGAGTTGGGCCACTGCAGGGTTAAGCTGCTAAACATAGGGAACTCTGATCATGCTGGGAATGACCAGAGGCACACTGCTCTGAGGTCAGGATGACCAAAGTTGAGGCAGCCAAGTACACAGGCTGTTCACCCCCTTATTACACATCAGTAGAGCAGCCAACCTGAGATCAAACAGTCCGCTTAACTGGTATGATTTACTGCATGGAGAATCCTTTGAACTGACTCTCATGATCTTGCTCAATTCCTGAGTCTGCCTTAGTATGTCCTTCCTTTGTTTGAAAATCAAATAAATGCAGGCCCTCTAGAGAAGTTCTCTGTTTCAACCCTCAGGGAATCTCTAGTTCTCTTAGAGAGTGTTAATTCTCTTGGAACCCAAAAATCATATGATATGTCTCTTTCATTTAATCCATTCACACTGAGGTGAGGCCAAGACTTCAATAGGCTAAGCTTTTCTCAACTGTCATGCACTGACCTTGGCCTTGGAACTGAAGATGGACTTGGGAAAGAGATGGATGGGCAGATGGGATGTGCAAATGCGTGGGCCCTCTTGATCCTTCAATATTTTGTTACCATGTGTAGTCTCTACCCAGGGTGAACGATCCCAGTTGGGCACTGATTGGATCCACTTGGGATCCCCCTTGGAAAGAATCAGGCAGATAATCTCAATTAACCAGTTGGTTCCTGAATAAATAAAGAATAATGATTATCAGTGATATTAACATGAGTTGTATCAATTCGGAAGAAATATGCAAAACATAAATGTAAGCTGTCAGCCATTTTTAAGCCTATTTTACAGTTCCTATTTAAATATTGAATAACATTTAGTATACTCCCATTATTATTCAATGTCTCAAATTTCTGTCTGAGAAAAGAAATCTTTCTATTCAAAAAATAACTAGTTCCTACTGACTCCTCCTTGCACTCTATGGCAACCAGCATTCTGCTTTCTATTGCTGCAAATGTGTGTTGTGCAAGTATTTCATATAGGTGAAATCACATAATATTTTTTCTTGTGATTATTTCATTTAACTTAATAAACTCAAGTTTCATCAATGTTGAGCTGTGTGTTAGAATTTTATTTCCAGTTGCATATAATACTGTATTGCATATTTCATGTTTGATTTATGCATCCATTGTAACAATGCCTTCTAGTTTTCTGAAAATAGATACCCAAGTGATTTCTTTGGCTACTTGCTAAAGACATTTGCCTAAGTTCCCATTGCCCTTAGCTTCTGAGTACTATGTGACTTTCAGTGTCATCCAATACCACCTCAATCCCCATACACTTATTTAAATTCTAGAATCTGCTTTAATATTCCTCAATTGCATTTTAATGGCACCTTACATGGGCCTTCTTAACTCTCATCTCCCTGGGTAACTGAAGAGCTATATCCTTTTTTTTTTTGCATGCAAATGTTATTAAACACTGTTCCTTGCTCCTCAAAGTACTGTATGGCTACTAGAAAAGTGGGAGCCTTCCATTCATTTGCAAAATGACTGAAGCCAACAAGCCATAGCTTTTTTTCATAACCTGTTCAGGATCCCTTTTCCTTACCTGATTTGGGATAAGTCACTGTTATTGTATCTTCATCCTTCACCACAAAGTTGTCCCGTAGTTCACATAATAATTCAGGCTTGGTTCCTTTCCCAGGGAAAATTATCCCTTCAAACAACAGAGAATATTCTGACATGATGATGAGTTTTTGCTTTGTGTTAGTTATCCAGCTGTGGCAAGTGCCAGGAGGTAAGTGTTTATAGTTACTAGCTAACCTTATTTATTTATTCAAATAATTCCTGGTAAATATTCAGAAGTAAATCCCCATTTCATGATCACAAAGTTTTCAGCATTGAGCAATTGTTTGCTTATCCTGAGCTAAGCTTTGTGTTTGTAGTTCTGAGTTGTAGTTTAGTTCATCAACTAGACCTTCAGTAACAAATAAAATAATATGTAAATATGGATATATCTTAAAAGTATTTTAAGTAAACTTCATTTTGTTCAATGCTTTTAAAGTATAAAATGTTAGAAGCCAGAGATGTTTTGTAGAACTATAACCCAAGCACTTGGGAAGCTGAGGCTGAAAGATCACTGTGAGTTCAAGGCCTACCTAAGCTGCATAGTGAGTCTATGTCTCAAAAAGATGAGAAACAATGTATCAGCCAAATGCACTGGCACAACACCTCCTAGCACTCAGGATGCTGATGCAGACAATACTCACAACTCTTGTTGATTGGGTAACTAAATGTACATTTTCTCTTCTTAGAGCTATATCTGACTCAAATGGAGCATTGCCAATTCTATCCTTCCTCACAGTACCTGTAGTCCTCTTCTCTAAAGGAGAATGAGTGCCATTCTCTATGCTCTGCACAGCATAGTGCCTTGTTTGATCTGTAGAGCACATTTCAGGCATGTAGTTCATCAATGAAAAACACAGACATTGCCTCACTCACAGGCAGTATGTGATCCTATTTCCTTATCCACTTTGGGAAATGTTGCCTTAATTACTCACTAAAAACTTGTTATTCACTTCTCTTAGAATTATATACAGTACATCCCTGAGAGGAAAATATGTTCTTTTAAATCGCACAGCATCACCTGACAGGAGGATGAGCTCTGTATTTCTGTTATTTCCAAATGAATCTACTGCTGAAAGATCATGCAGGCACTAGTAAATCAGGTTTTTACATTTCATAAATAACAATAGCAAACTTTTCTTCATGAGTTGTTCAGGTAACTGTTCATAAAAAGTGGAAAATAATGGAATCAGTGTCTAAATTTAGTTGCATTGAGCCATTGTGAAGTCAATCAGAATGTGATCCGATTTTGAGTTTAAGGTTGAGAATTGCATAAGTATTAATGAGTACAAGGACACAGAAATACAAGCAAACTTTAATATTTTAAAAACACTTTACTTTTCAGTCATTTAAATAATATATAGAAAAATGCTGAAGAGAATACAGGGAGCTTCCATTCAGCATTCTTTTTTCAGATTTCCTTAATGCCCATTTTGCTCCAGGATCCCATCTTGGAGACAACAGCAGTCAGCCACCATGCACCATGACATTTTAGGCTCCTCTTGGCTTTGATGTTGACTGACATTGTTTTTCTTTAGTTTAGCTTATTAATTTTTTGGATGGCCTTGACATTCTCCTGGAGTACAACTCAGGGATTCCAAGAATAATTTTATAGTAAAATTTTAGATGTGTTTATCATTGCCTGGATTCATGGCAGTTCAAGAGGAAGGCCATGAAGAGTGATTGTAGAGTGCAGCTCAAGGCTGAGTCCAAATAAGACACTGTAAAGGGGACGAGATGAGCTAAGTATCTTCAAATGTCTATGTGAAGGTCGGTGATGATCCTTGTCTGCCAGGAAGCCTTGCAGGAACCTGATACGTGGGTGCTTACTAAGTCCCAGTGTTATTGTTCAGTTTTTCAGCTTAAAAAAATAGGTAAATGGAATTGTTAAAGAATGTGTTAAGGTGTAGCTCATCGGTAGTGTGTATGTGTGCATATTTGGGCGAAACATCCAAATCCATTTCCAGGGCACATACACAAAAAAATTAATGTTGAAGCTCAATGGTAACCAAGCAAATGTAAGTGAGGATAAAATGAGATATTTATGCCAGAAAGGTGAGAAGCATAACTGAGGATCTGAGCATGCAAATATTCACGAGGTGTTCAAAGCAAGTGTAAATTTTAATTTTTTTGTTTTCCTTTCTTTTGTCATATTCAGACTTAAAACGTTCTACCAATGAACTAAATAGCCAATGGATTTTACTTTTAATTTTGAAGCCAGGTTCAGTCGCCCACATTGACCTTGAACTTTTGTTTTACCTACCTGAGCCTCCAAAAGACTGGAACTTTTGTCATGTGTTGTAGTTTATACATAGACATCTCTTTCAAGTCTAGTGAGTTAATAAATGGAGACGTAGGGAAGTGAGTAAATAACCAGATTTATAGTTGAGTAGGATGTGAGTTCTTCTCAGAAGATGTAGGTTCCTGAGGGCATGGTGTGCAGTGTTTGTCTCTCTCTCCAATCATTTCTACAACTTGGGCACCATACCACAACCTGCTGTTCCTCTGCCAAGGCCATTTACCCCTCCACCATTTTCTTTTGGAACCAGGACACTATGGATTGCAACCTCTACAAAGTGTGAGCCAAAACGCAACTATATTCCCTAGAGTTGTAGGTATTGATTATGTATCTCAGTGAGGAGCAGGTGAGTAACACAGCACTTCTCTGCGGCTAGGGGTTGAGTTCAGTGGCATGAATGCCTGCTTTGCAAATGGAGATTGTGATTTAGATACCTGGCCAAAAAAAAAAAAAACTGACAGAATATCTCATCTTACACAGTCTATGATTTGTTGATGAGTGTCTACATTGTTAAGAAATTATTGGAAACTGAAACCAGTGTGGAAAGAAGCTGGAACTGAGTCTTTTTTCTCTTTTTTCCTCTCTCTTCTTTATCTCTTCATTTTTGGTTTTGTTCTTCTTTTACTTTCTTGTTTTTTTATAGTTTTCTTTTTCTTTTTATCTATCTTTTCTAAGTGATTGAGGAGAAGCTGGCCACAAAAAACTTTATCCCATAACCCAATCCCACAGACCAAGTTCAGATAATTCCTTGAAAACTCCATTCCTTGTCTTCTCCCAAACTTGTCTTTCTCCATTCTTGTCTTTCCCAAACTTCATGTGACTACCCTTGTCCTCCAGGTTTCCTTCTATTTTATTCCCAGTTATCTTTGTTTTATACACTATCTTTCCTAAATTTATCTACCAGGATAAAACCATCCCACCAATTGGAAAACTGTTGCCAATAAAAAACTTTACATTTATGATTGGTTATGTTATATAATATATAGTTTTCTTCTATGATCTAAACTATAAAATCAAATTTGTCAGGTTATAGGTAGGGCTTGATGCCATTGTTTTTGCCAGAGTTAGTACTAAAGCTAAGATATTGTATCTGTTGTAATCAGTTTTTCTCCCTTCTGAAACAATACCGGGACGATCTAGAGCTTCACACTAAAGAACTGGGGTTTGAGCCAAATAAAACAAACAAACAAAAAACAAAAAAACAAAACCCCACAACTATCCCATTTTTAATAAATTGGGAATGTAGAATCTTGTGAAAGACACAAGCCAGTATTTTCTACACATGGTAGACATCACTGAAGAACAGATTTTTCCGAGAGTCTTTTAAACTAACAATACAATTATCTAATATACAGTCTTACAAGGGTCATCACAGAAAAATAATGAAAACATTCTGTGGGTTTTTATCTACTAACTTCATGGAGGATCCAAATTCTGCCCTGGCCAGCATCCAGATGCAATCCATCGTGGGATGCCCTGCCAGACTCTCAGATCATAGAAGTACAGAGCCCTGCATATCCGAGGGCCATCCATCAGAGTGACTAGCCTAAGCCACAGGTCTTGGAGAATTTTAACTCTGCATATCAGAGCACAAGGCTCTCATGCCATAGTTCAGGGGTGTGCCCCAGCTAGCTAGGGTTATATCAGAGGACTAAAGCTCTGCACTGTTAAACATTCTAGTGCATTTGTTGGGAGAGTGCCTGGCCATCGACATGGGTCCTAGGGAAAAATTACAAAATTAATCAGCAAGATGCAGTCCAGTCCTCTAGGAAGGAGAGGTGAAAAATCAAATACATAATGTTACAGTTTTAAAGTGAGAACTTAAAGCCTCTTTGTCACAAATATTAATTAGACAAAAAAAAAAAAAAAACCAGCAAAGAAATAACAGAACTGAACCAAAGGATGAAAAAATAGACTTAGTAGAAATTTACAAAGTGTTTCCCCCAACAACAGAATATGCATTTGTTGCCTGCTAAGTGTCAATTGGAACCCCAACAACAAAAAATAAAATTAACATAAAAAACAATACATATTATTCTCAGATGCACATGGAACATTCTCTAAAATAGACCATATAGTTGCCCAGAGAACATGCTTATGAAAATGCAAAGTAGTTGCAATTATCCCATGCATAATATCTGACTATAGTGCAATATAATCAGAAATAATGAAATAAGAAGCCACAGAACTCTATAAACAGGTAGGTATTAAGAAACGAAAATGTAAATACAGCTTACCAGTACCTGTGAGGTTAAATGTTGCAGTGTTAAATGAGAAATTTAAAGTGGTGAATTCTCAAATCAAGAAAATAGAACAGGTACAAATAGCCTAATGCTGCACCTCAAGCTTCTAAAATATCAAACTCAAAATCCACATGAAGAAGAAAATATTAAAAATCACAGAAGTAGCAAATGCTAGTGAGACTAAGAAAGCAATGCAAAAAATTAATGAATTGAACATTTGCCCCTTTGAAAAAATAAATAAAATTGATTGACCCTTAATCAACTTTATGATAACAAAGATAGAATAGACTCAAATTCATGCAATGAGGAAAGGGATGAAATCACTACAGATTCTGTTGAAATTCAGAAGATCATCAATACATACTTCAAAAATCTTGGCTTTAGCATGTAAAGCACAGAAAAAAAAAGATTACTAGAAACATGTTATTACCAAAACTGAATCAAGAGGGTATAAATTTCTGCATAACCCAATATCAGTTAAGAAATTGAAAATGTAATTATAATCTTACAAAAAAAAAAAACCACAACACTGCCTGTGAAGTTCAAGGTCCTGAGTTCAATTCCCAATACAAAAAAAATACATATGTCCTAATATATTTATTTCTGAATTCTACAAGAAA